TTTTTTTTTTTTTTTTTTTTTTTTTTTTTTAATTATTAATTATTAATTTTTTATTATCTCGTATATTAACGATAGAAAATTGGTAAAGATGTAGGTTCTATATTAACTTAACTATATTTGTGATAAAAAAAAAACAATAGACATGTTCCTTCAATCATAATTTCACGTGCAGTTTGGATTTTAAATTTTTTTTTTTTTTTGATAAGTTCCGTTCCAATGGAGTTCATCTACTTCTTTAATCGTGAATTGATTGCACCCACTAAAATTTTTAACTCGGGTATGGATCAAACCATATAATAATGATCAAACCATATAATAATGATCAAACCATATGATACGTTTCATTTGACCCCAGGTCATACCATATGGTAATAAACCTGAATATTTATGATACCATATGATAATGTTCAATTTTATCATAATACCATATACCAGAGTATCGTTCTGGTCTCGTATTTTCTTGATCGAGAAATTGAAACAAAATAAAAATAAATAAAAAAACAAAATGGTTGCATCAAATTTACAAAGACTTGTACACCAAGTTATTAATATTCAAAATAATCCAAACCCTACAATTTTGAATAAACAATTTTCTTTTACTTATAGAGAAATAGAAACCAAAAAGCTTTGATTCCAAACCTTTCATTTTTCTAAATAAAAATCCAATTTTGGGCTACAATACAACATTATCCCAAGGGCCCCACCAAAATTCCAACTTTTCTCACTTTTTGCAATTATACCCTTCCCCTAACTTTATCAAAATTACCCTCCAAATTTGTTATTCGGTCCAAAAGAATCGTATAATCTCCCTACATACACAAATATATACCGATTACAGTTTTCCCCCCTTTTCTTTCATTATTTGCATTTCTACCCCCTCTACTTTTCCTTATTTCCACTTGTACCCCCACTCATTTTGCTCTTTAAACCTCCTCAAAACCCCATCGACGGCCACGTCGAACGCGTCTCTGACGCCGCCGGTGCCGTAAACGAGCTTCGGAATTGACTCGATCACTCTCTCTCTCATCTCCCTCACTTCCTCTCTGCTAAACCTCTCCAGAACCGCTTCAATGGAGGCCGTCCCGTTCTTCACCGCGTTCCGGTCTATAAAAACCGAGTAACTCCCCGGTTCGCTAGGTAAGAACCATTCGTACTGGTAATACGCCGTCCGCCGCCAGAAGAACACTGGAATCGCTCCGGCAATCATGCAATCGAAGATCGACCGCCGCGTGAAACTGTCCCCTCTCGGCTGTAGGCAAAAATCTGAGGAGAGAAACGTCTCCAGAATCGCCGATGTGCCGTTGGTGCAGCGACTACCAGCGCAGTCGACAACGCGGCATTTCTCCGCCGTGGAGTTGCGGCATTGGTCGAGAAGTACCGCTCGGAAGTCGTTGCCAAAGGCGGCGCGAGTCGCACCGGCGAAGCAGAAGAGATGCGTACGACGGCGCGTGCGGACGAAGTCCTGCCAGGCCGTCACGTCGTCCTGGCCCCTGGGGTGGAATCCTGTGGGGTAGGGTACACCGACGTCAAAATAATCCCACGGATTTCGCTCAATCAGAAGCCGAGTTATGTTCCTCATTCCGGGCAAATAAATACACTCCGATCCCCAATCCTTATCCTTGCTCCGGCGGAAATCCCATGTGATTCGTCCCATTGTAATGAAATGATCCCAGCCGTTGGATTTTTTGTAATACTCCTGATCTGCAAGCCATCTAAGAATCATACGGCAGTGCTGATCCCGATCCTCTACGGTTGAATTCGTCCAGAGGAATTTCCCCACTGCGAGTCCAGCGTAAAACGGTATGTAGAACGCCGTAGCCAATTCCGGCTCTGAAACACGGCATTTATGCTTCACAATACGGTTATGGAAAATAATCTCCGTCACGAATTGGTCCGTCCAATACCACGACGGAAGAAGATTCTCCGGAATGATTCCGGCGAGAGAATCCGCTCTCTGTCCGAATCCGCCGTTCGCCATCGCTCTGCAACTCGAGCTCCACGGATTCAGATTGTCGCAGTTTTCGAGAATATCCTTGTTAAATGCCGACGGCAGATCGTAGACGAAGATCCGGCCGTTTTTACATTCATCGGCAGCGGCGGAGGAGACGACGGCGACGGAGGGGAAGCGGCGGAGGCGATTGGTGGAAGAGGAAAGCGCCGGTGGGAGAGGGAGAGGGAGGAAGCGAATGGTGAAGAGAAGAAGGATCTGGAGAGAGAGGATTACAAGGAGAAGCCATAGCCGAGATTGTTGATGATGAAATTGCTGTAACAACGAGTTGAACGCGTTCTTCTTGTCGAACAACTCGGACGATTTGAACTTCTTCGGGTGGTGCTCCGCCGGCGAGGAGTTACCGGAAAGAGGAAGCATCAGAATAAAACGAACAAGCGGTTTAATTCCGGCGTCCGGAGCGACTGTGACCGTCACCGCCAGGGGAGAATTGGTTTTAGAGTGAGAAAGAAGAAGGCTGAGCTGTATGAAGAAAAAAGAGTTGCAAATGAAGGGCGGAAATTTTATGAGGAGGTAGAAAGACACGTGTCCAATTTGGTTACCGACTGATGGAGCAACCGACAGCGTATTGAATTAATTTCAACCGACAAGTGCCGGTTGCTTTCTGTCAGAAACAAATTCCGCCGTTGATTTTCCCAAGCGGTGAGGGTAATATTGGTAAAGTAAATAAATAGTGATTTTATTTTTAAATCCAACAGTTTAAGGTAAAATTATGAATTTATAAAATAGTTAATTAAGGAATTATCACAATTTTCACATTTATTTATTTATTTATTCTGTAAAAAGTATCTTTACGTTTATTGGTAGCGTGCAAGAAAAGGCATCTTTACGTTCATTGGTAGAAGTAGAATGCTAAGATTGGAATATATTTTAACCAATATATTATTCCCTTTAAAATAATCTATCATTTTAATTATTATTTAACATTTGAGCTAATAAATTTTATAATTTATTCATCGTCAATTTAAGTTTTTCGGGTTTGATAAATTGAGATCAGAGAAGATTTTAGGTCTATTGACTGAAAATTCGGGAGGTTTGGAGGAAAAAACGCGTTACGTGCACCGTACAACTCATCTCCTTCAGCAATCACACACTCTCTCCCTCCAGGTCGACTCGCTAGTTGTCTTCTTCAAAAAATAACTTTTGTTCCACCGACAGGTTTTGTATCCATGATAGTAAACATCGAATCCAACAATGATCATGTTTGCATGTGTATGCATTTTTCGACCCAACAATGAGGTTGAAAAATCCCAGGTGACTAACAGCCATTACTACAGTGGCCACGAGATAATCACGATCAAAGTTTTCACCTTTTAGCTATTTCAACTTGATTAGACATTGAAAAACATCCATGACATGCACATGACAACAACCAAGTCACGGTTTAGAGGTCAGATCGTTACAACAAACTTCAAATTTAAACATTCATATTGTCTTTTTTGGGCTTTTCTTTTCAAGCTTCCCCTTAAGGCTTTAAAACGCGTATGGTAGGAGAAGGTTTCTACATCGGGCGTTTTGTTATCCTCTCCAACCAATGTGGGACATTACACCGACCCATTTGTTAGGTTATTGTTTACAATTATATTAACTGAATATCATAAACCGATTAAAACAAGTAATATTTAGACAGTATAATTCAATTATTAAAAATGTCATATTTTTGCAGGTTAATAAAAGAAATTAATAATTTTAGGAAAAATAAATAATTACGAAAAAGGAAAATAATAATATCAATAAATACGCATCAGAGACAAAAGGAAACAGTTGACGGTGGAAGTTACAGCTGTTAAAAACCTAGAAAAAAAACCGTCGAATGGGATGACGTCATACTGCCACGTGGATGACAGCAAAACAGAAAAAATTATTAAAATATATTAAAGGGGGCGGCGCACGAAGTGGGACGGACGTAACGTGGAGTATTAAATGGAGTTTAGTGGGTGAGGTGGCATCCGGAGAGATAGCTGTCAGGATTGGGATAGGGGTAATGGGAATTGCCAAACTCGTTTTGTGGCTTTTTCTTTAGTACTCTTGTCGTTTTCTGGGAGACTAATCACGTTTAATTATCTTAATTTTATTTAATTATGGACGAAATTATTGATATTATTAATTTAAAAAGTTTTTAATTTTATTAATATTGTTGCTTAATAATCTACAAAAATGAGTCAAAATTAAATTCTTATAATTAATTTATTAACATTATTAATATAATTATTTACTTGTAATAAAATAATTTAGTATTTGAACCTAGGATTTGATTGGACATTTCCATTAAAATTGCCCACAAGTCCCTAGATTAAGAAAAATTATTTAAATGCCACAACATAAAATAAATAAGCCCATAGAATAAAACAAAAAGAATAAATTTTTTAATGTATTAAGAACATATTAGATACAAACACGAGCATAACTGCGAGATCCCACAGTGGTTGGTGATGGGAGTAAAACATTCTTTATAAGGGTGTGGACATACGCGTTTTAAAAACCCTCCGAGGAAGTTCGAAAGGGAAAGCTCAAAGAAGACAACATATGTTAGTGGTGGGCTTAGGCCGTTACAAATGATATCAGAGCCAAACATCGAGTGATGTGCCAACAAGGAGGCTGAGCCTCAAAAGGGGCTGAACATGAGGCAGTGTGCCAGCAAGGATACTAGGCCACGAGGGGGAGGGGGTGGTGGATTAGGGGCTCCCACATCGATTGGAGAAGAGAACGAGTGCCACCGAGAACACTGGCCCCAAATAAGATATAGTCTTTTTTGGGCTTTCCCTCAAGATTTTTAAAACGTGTAGGTAGAGACTTCCACATCTTTATAAAGAATGCTTCGTTCCCCTCTTCAACCGATGTCAGATCTCACAATCCACCCCTTTCGAGACCTAGCGTTTTCGTTGTACTCGTTCATCTCTCCAATCGATGTGAGATCTCATAGAAATAATCGAGGCTCTGCAAGTTCTCACCCTGAACAAAGCAGGAAATCCTTGTTTACACAGTGAATGGAGAGGGAACCGAAAGAGTTTTGTCTCCGTTCGATAAATAAGAACGGGGATTGGAACAAGAATTATATTCCTCATCTTCAGTCGACTTTGCTGAATTATTTATTTATTATTATTATTATTATAGAATATGATATAATAATACCATGGCCTACATTTTTAAGGAATAATATTTCACAAAAGCAAAATTAAAAAATAATGTCAATTAATATAATATAAAGAAAGGTAAAGAAATAAAAGTTGTATTTTTAATTTTTAAAAAAATAGAGAAACTTTACGAAGGGATAAAGAAATTCATAATGATTAAAGAAAATAAAAAATACTAAACACCCAACCATAAAGTAATAAGATTCCTCCACCAATAAACTTTTTACTCATTTTATGAAAAAATAAAAAATAAAAAATAAAAAATATTATAGTTGCACTTATTTATTTATTTATTATTATTTAAAATTAATTAGATCCTGTGTACGAGTCATAGCAAAAAAGATCCTTTAGGAGCTGAAACATATAAAGATCAGTTAGAATTATCGAGGTATTTATCGGGTGAACTTTATTTAATAAGGGTTGTTTGGATTGAAAATTTAATAATATGAATAATTGAGTTCGGTCTAAAAAAACGTTCTAACCCACAGACATCCCTAGCATATAAGGCCATCTCGCAAGCTTTATTCTAAAATGGAGGAAAATTTATATTAGACGTGTTTAAATAACTTGATAATCCGATAACCCGAACAACTTGATTCAGATCGTATGTTAGAATGATTAAAGGTTCGGGTTCGTGTTCAATTTTAAACTTTAAAAAGATTGTACATTGGGTTTATGTGCACCAACTTGGGCCAGCCCACTTACCAAAGCCCACCATCTAAGCTTTCACCTCTTTCCTTATTTATTTTTAATTTTCTTATTTTTGGCTTTGGCTTGCTTGGGTCATTATGGCGATTGATGATCCTGGGTGCAAACAATAAGTCAGAGTCCCTTAAAAAAATTTCAGTGTATAAAGAAAGGCTCGGGCCCTCCAAGCGTCATAGAGGTCCCTCACTCGGGTATCAGGATGAGAAAGGATATAACGGTACATTGAAAGATCCAACAATCAAAAGGGAAACAGAAAGGGGTTCTAAAAAGCCAGAATCGAATAAGATTTCAGTATTTTAATCATAGTCTAATTTCTTGAATTGAGCTGTATGTATGAATCAGGATCACACGTGAATGAGAGTGATCATGAGAATAAAATAACTAAAAAAGATTTAAAATAATTAAAAGTCGCTGTCTAGACCAATAAGGTGTACATTTCTTTTCAACGACTCAACTATAGGAACTTTATAGTTCAATGTGTGTTGCTTAGAACAATTCTATGTTGGGAGAACTCTTAAAAATTTTCCTAAAATGCATGTGAGTAGAGACAAAGTATCCTGGAATGGCTCATGTTGGCCTGTGGGGATAGACTTCACTCTTAGACGTGAAGAGTAAGTAATGTGACCATGTCGCAGTGGATGCAGGAGAATGTTAGGGCATCAAGTGTCCTTAGAAACGAGGAGTAGCTAGCGTGACTATGTCGCCTTAGATACAGGGGAATGGGGGGGGCCATCATGTGTAGAATTCAGATTCCAAATCCTGTTCGTGGATCGTTACAGGAGAATGATAGAACCATCACGTGCAGAATCCAGATCCCGAAACTTGGGCATGAATCAGTTAGAAATTTGAATTCTTCACTATTTTTATTAAATTTGTCAAAAAAATGGATACGAAGGAAATTAAGATTCACGTCATACATTGATACGAAACTTATGGAGATACGATAAGAAATGAGGAAGAAATTGGAAACCATAATTTAGAGCTTAAAAAAATGTAGAAGAGAATAGAGGCAGCACCGGAAGAAAGGGGAAGGAAAGGATCATAGTCTTTCAATGAACATGAAAGCGACTTCTTAGAGGGTAGCCTTTGCGTGACCTTATTGCATCGCTATTTTGTGACTTTTTTTTTTTTTTTTTTTTTTTTTTTA